TGCTCTCTCAAGCAAACTTCCTTCCTATGACCTCCCAGAAAAGAGGAAGTTTTTCCCAGTTCTATTAACCTTAGGCAGTTCAAAAATCGTATTAATAGAATTTTTTTGGGATCATCATAGCAGCCGCGGTGTTCCGGCATTTAAGCTTCTGCCTGCGCGGCTGCTTCGATATAAAAAAAAAACCTTACAACATTTAACCTCTACATTTTTTTGAAACGATCAGGAGCCTCTCAAGCATCAAAAAACAAAGTTTTAGCGATTTTTATTCTTCTTCTTCTGTTTGTACCTCCGGCACCACTGACTCGATTTTCAGAAACTACAAAGCTTTTTCATCATTGACAACTACTAAAGTAGTAACCTTGTGTGTCAATTGCAGCAAAATTTGAGCAGTACTTTCCAAGTTATAGACGGGCCAAGGATTCGCTGACAGACTCACCGACAGACAGACCAACATTTTTTGCGATACGATACTTCGCTAGCGACGCTTTGTCAGTGGCGGATTTAGAGGGGGGCGCCCCCCCCTAGACGTCTGACACTTGCTTTTGTAATCTAACACCATTGTGTTGTTTTCTGATACATCATGGAGACAGAGGCATACTAACTATAAGTTATAGCTAAAGGTATTGCGATTTTTGGTATCCTTTGTCCCTCTTCGACATCACTTATGTTTACACATATATTAGCTATACAGATTGCACATAAAAAGTGATTTATGTTCTGTTTGTTGCTCAATAGTATACTAAGTGACATATAAATCCGAACACCCAGCTTAAATGGTTTTATTTTAATCAAAGTTGGTGAATGTATTTATCCTACTGTAAATAACAAGTGAAAAAATGTTTAATTCACTAACGCTCTAAAAATGAATATTTCAGCCGCAGTAAAGAACCAACGTTGGCGGATTTTGGTTCTTGACATCCTTTACGATCGGTTACGATGCCTAGAGTACGGAGACCTGTACGATTTCGTCGACTTAGTGAGTTTGATAGGGGCCGTATAGTGGGAGTTCGGGAAGCTGGACTTTCTTTTCGGGCAATTGCAGTTAGAGTGCAAAGAAGTGTAGACACTGTGGTTAGGTGTTGTCAAGCATGGCTTCGAGAACGCCGTACGCAAAGAGCAAGGGGCACTGGACGCCGCCGTAGAACAACAGACCGTGAAGATCGCTGCCTAAGATTATTGGCCTTAACGGACCGTTTCTCCACTACCAGGTCCATTGCAAATGAATGGTTTGCAGAACACGGAAGACCTATTGGCATGCGAAGTGTTTACCGACGAATGAGAAGTTTTGGCTTCTTTTCATACCGGCCACACTGGGTCCTCCCTTTAACTCGAGAACACCGACGTAATCGCCTTGAGTGGTGCAGACAACGGTCATTCTGGGATCAGGAATGGAACAGTATTGTCTTTAGTGACGAGTCTCGATTTTGTTTAGGCATGCACGATGGTCGTGCCAGGGTTAGAAGGCGACGTGGTGAAAGGAGGAATCCACAGTTTTTTGTTGAAAGACATGTTCATCACACTGTTGGAGTTATGGTTTCTGGTGCTATAGCTTATGGTTCCAGGTCACCTTTAATCTTCATCAGAGGTAATATGAACGCGCAGCGTTATATCCACGGAGTTTTAGAACCCCATCTTTTACCCTATCTTGACACCCTGGCAGATCCAACTTTCCAACAAGATAATGCCCGACCACATGTTGCAAGACTCACAATAGACTTCTTTCAACATAATGATGTCACATTGTTACCATGGCCACCAAGATCATCCGACTTATCCCCAATTGAGCACGTGTGGGATATGATGGGTAGGAGACTGTTCAATTTGCAACGTCCTCCTCAGACTCTAGAAGCACTTCGAGAGGAGTTGGTGGTTGCCTGGAATGAGATACCACAGGAGGACATTGACCACCTGATCGGAAGCATGCCTAGGCGCGTTGGAGAATGCGTAGCACATCATGGTGCATCCACACATTATTAAAGGTCAAAGGGATTTAAAGCAGTGCAATCATTTTGAAATTTTTATCATTTACTTATTATGCTTCATTAAGTACTTATACAAAATTTTATTAAAATAAAACCATTTAAACTGGGTGTTCGGATTTATATGTCACTTAGTATAATTTGAAAAGTGTGTAAAGCTTGACTGATTTTGTTCGGGGGTGATGTTTCAGCGAAGAACTATTAGTCTAATCATATCAGACGAAAATACTCCTGGTTTGCGAAATAATTCTAAAGCCTGGTTTTATTGCTGCAAGTTGCTCAAGGGGGTATTCAAAACGTGGACGCATAAAATGGGTACACCAATTTTTGTGGGAAAACTTTTTTTTCGACAACTATTCCGGAAGATAAATGTTAGTTTTTATGCAAAAAAGGATGGGTTACGTTTTTCTTCCAAACAAATTCAAACATTTCGTACTTGTGAGTAACTCGCAACAAAAGATGATAGACACGCTTTGTTTTAAATGGGTATAGTAATGTATGTATTTCGAATATCGTAGCGCATTTGCCCAATTACGCACAAATACGAAATGGTTGAGTTTGCTTTGAAGAAAAAAAAAGGTAGCCTTTGTTTTTCGCATAAAAATTTCATTTATCTTTCGGAATGGTTTGTAATTCATATCGGCAAGGTAAATTGGTGTATTTTGCTGTAAAATGCTCCTTGAACTGACCCTGTATATAGCTCAATAAACTAGTAGTGATGTCCGAAAAACAGGTGTTTTCGGATCAACAATTAGATATTCTCATAAAACTACTTGTCCATTATACTCCAATCGTCGCATTACCAACAAGTGCCAAAACCTGAATTTTGCCTGGTTTTTCGGTCATAACATTTTTGCTGTTAGTCGAATCTTTTCACGTGTGGTCTCATTCTGTGGGTCTCATAAATACCTAAAAATCTTATCTACAAAGTTTTTTCGTTCCTATCTACACTTTCGATTGAAGCCCAAAAAACCAGATTTCTCATTCTTGGTTGTCAAATAGAAAGTTTTCCCACAAAAATTATGCGTTCCTGTTTAAAATGCGCCCTTGAGCAACTTGTACCAATAAAACCGGACTTTGCAATTATTTCGGTGAAATTTGATAATATGATTAGACTATATGTTAGATGAACGCCTACATTGGAAATATACATTTATTAGATTTGCTTAGCGGTGCGCCTGTAGCCTGTCCAGAAAATTCGTCGATCGATGCTCAAAGTCAATCCCACACGTCCCGCATTTCTTGTTTCGTACAAACATACATTATCAAAATAATTACTATCTAACATATACTAAGTGACATATAAATCGGAACACCCAGTTTAAATGGTTTTATTTTAATAAAATTTTGTATAAGTACTTAATGAAGCATAATAAGTAAATGATAAAAATTTCAAAATGATTACACTGCTTTATACCCTTTTGACCTTTAATAATGTGTGGATGCACCCTGATGTGCTACGCATTCTCCAACGCGCCTTGGCATGCTTCTGATCAGGTGGTCAATGTCCTCCTGTGGTATCTCATTCCAGGCAACCACCAACTCCACTCGAAGTGCTAGACTCGAATCTGAGGAGGACGTTGCAAATTGAGCAATCTCCTACCCATCATATCCCACACGTGCTCAATTGGGGCTAAGTAGGGAGATCTTGGTGGCCATTTGCAGTGGACCTGGTAGTGGAGAAACGGTCCCTTAATTCCAATAATCTTAGGCGGCGATCTTCACGGTCTGTTGTTCTACGGCGGCGTCCAGTGCCCCTTGCTCTTTGCGTACGGCCTTCTCGAAGCCATGCCTGACAACACCTAACCACAGTGTGCAATTGCCCGAAAAGAAAGTCCAGCTTCCCGAAGTCCCACTATACGGCCCCTATCAAACTCACTAAGTTGACGAAATCGTACAGGTCTCCGTACTCTAGGCATCGTAACCGATCGTAAAGGATGTCAAGAACTAAAATCCGCCAACGTTGATCCTTTACTGCGGCTGAAATATTCATTTTTAGAGCGTTAGTGAATTAAAAAAAAGCAGTATAAAAACCGGAATGTCCAACTGATAAGGCTGAAAATGTTTTCACTTGTTATTTACAGTAAGATAAATACATTCACCAACTTTTATTAAAATAAAACCATTTGAACTGGATGTTCGGATGTGTATGTCACTTAGTACATATAGTTTTTTCCAAAGATTTCCAACATTTTCATGTGCGATCAACACCGATTCGAAAACTGAGGAAACAACAACTATGCCGTAAATCTAAGTTCGACAACGAAAGTCTGAAGAATAACATCTATATTGAATTTCAAAAAATAACTGACTCTACCTATCGATATTTTTATCACCTGCTGATATAATAGAAGTGCTTGATTGTGTCAGTATTTACACCAATCACTTGATTTGTTTAACCGGTAGTTCAGAGTATTAATTCTTAAGCTTAGTACACACTAGTAGACGCCGTTGCGCAATTTGTCTATAGGTGTCTCAAGACACGATCTATAGATAGTCTATAGACATCCTTCTTTGTCTCGTCTAGCGTCCATACGATAATGCGAATTTTTCGGGTCTCATGTTCGCTTTCGCCATGAAAGACATTGTTTTGTGTGGAATGGCTGGGATAGGTCTCGGGGTCCCTCAAAATGTCTTTTTTGATTAACAGAGCAATGAAGTTTTTTATTTTTTAATCTTTAATATTATTACACTAGTTAATTATAAATGCCACGTAATTCTTTTCTTCTCGTATAATAAAATATTGCCTTTCTGAGGATTTATGAGCACTTTCCTTATTTTTTTTTCAAGTTGGCACTGGACAGATAGAACACAATGGACTTAAGGAGCAATAATAGGATAAATTCTAGAAGTTCCACTAAGGTAGAAAAATTACCAGCCCCAAATATCGTCTGCGCTCCCCCTAGACGAAATCCTGAATCCGCCCTTGCGCTTTGTCTTTGGAGTAAGACATACATGCAACCACCTGGACTAAAGTAATCCATCCCGGATCCCGCGTATGCTCACCTGCAGTCACAAAATCGATTTCAAACAATCTAAAAGCTGAAAGCACTTCACCGCCGGCGGCATATTTTCCTCGAGACAACGTACATAAAGTCGCACATGTTCGCGCAATATTTTATAAATAAAATCGCATCTCGCCTTGAATGAGTGGGGATCGGATGAGAGCGAATGAGGCACGATGTTTAAATTAGAGTGGAGATCATGCATCGCGGAATGATGTTCGGCCGTATGATCAATCAATCATAGTGACCTCCGCGAACATTGTTTTTGCAAACGCGCGTTGACATATTTCGCAATGGGTTGCGGAAGTGTTTCACTGAAGATTCTGAACGGGATATGCTTATTTTGGTTTACGGTATGTATCGTTATTTTCATTTACTTCAATTTAATTCGTTGTCACTTCCGTCGCCCTGTCTATCTACCTGTTTCTAGGCGCTAATACTTCAGTGACCGTTGCACCGATTTTGATGATATTTGGTAGAACACTTTAGACTTAGACATTGTCTACGTACGAGGTCTATAAATTAAGTGCTGAGACCGAATTTTTTATTTTATTTTTTATCAAAATATAATTACAATTTTATACTGTCACCTTTGAAATAACGTGCGTTGGAAGCCACACAGCGCCGAGGAAGGTTCTTATACTCCTCATAGCAGTACTGGAAATCCGATACTGCAATAACGACTGTTCCAAAATGAGTTCCCTTGACGTAATTTTTCGACTTCAGGAAAAGAAAAAAGTCACAACAACTGAAGTCAAATTTATCTTTTCCTCGATCATTCTGTCGATATCTTCAACTGAGTCGTTCCCTTCTGAAAATGCCTTAGACCACCAAAAAATATGGGCTCTTCACATAACACTATCTCCTTATTCCTGCTGAAGTTCAATGAGAGTTTCCATTACACTGTGTACAAGTCTGAAGCAAAAGCTGATTCCATACCGTTGCTCGAAATTGATGTCACAACACAAAAGAAAAAACTATAATAAAAAACTCGATACTGACAACGAAATGACTCAAGAGAGTTCAAACTTGTACTAAAGACGAATCACGCGTTCCCCTGTCTCCTCCAAGCTCGGCGCCTCCAGTGTTGCCAGATCTAATGTAACGTTGCCAGTCTCCTCACTTAATTTACAGGCCTCGTATGTATTTAAATACCCGATCATTTTCGAGTCAATCAGGTTATAAGGTTCCAATAAAAAATATCTAAGCATCATTTTTCAAATAATTCGAGCTTTTGGTCATTTGAGGGGGAAATAAAAAAATCCTAAAGAAACAGTAGCATCAAGTACTATACAAAACAATGTTTCAAGACTTATCAGGTTCATACTGTTCAGAATTCTTGTGGATCGATATCACTTAAAAACCACGTTTTCTTATAATCTGTCCAAATGAATGTTTTAAACAAGTGATAAAAGTAAAGCGGTGCCGTTCTTCCCCACATGCAGCTATAGCATTTCAATCGCGATCATAACCTTTAGGAGAGGCCAATATTTGAATTAACCCTGAATTTGAGTCTGTATACAGGGTGTTTCAGTTTTAAAATTAATGCATAAAGTCTATATAAACATGGGTCGAAAAATGCGTGGCTTCCTAAATACAGGGTGTTTAAATTTACTTTCTAAAATAGTTTTTTTAAAATATTTCGAACAATATTTGATGTATAACAGTAAAAATTGGTATACAAGTGTTTCTTGGTACGACAAAACGAACCAATGGCATAGTTTTACCGTAGCCGCTAGAGGGCGCTCTCTACTGTACCTGTAGTGTGTTAAAATGACCGAAATTTTTTTCTTAGTGCAATTTTTTTGCTTTTTGAATAAAAAAACTGATTCTTCGCACTTTTCTGCATAAAAAATCTCTCCTGTGAGTTTTCGTTATGGTTAGCAGTTTTTGAGATATTTCGATTTTTAAGGTTCGATGCATTTTTAATTATTTATGGGAAAATAATTTTTTTTTTAAATATTCGATTTGGGCATTACAAGTAATTAAGATGATCGTTTAGATCGTGTTTTTAAACCCAGCAATAATTCCTAACTCCAAATAAACACAAAAAACAGAATATTAATTTGTTTAATTTTCCAATATTATTTTTAACAAATTAAATGAATATTGGATGCTATTGGATAGTTAGGACAAACATACAAAATCTAAAGTAGTTGCTCGAAATGTAAGCCCAATTGTTCAATACACAATTCACATCTACGAATGATCGAACGTGGTATAGCATTATTCAAATAAGGCCTCATTTCTTCACATGCATTCCTGATTCTGTCTATTAGCATATCTCTTGTGGTTACGGGAGTCTGGTACACTTTTTCTTTTAGAAATCCCCACACAAAGAAATCTAATGGATTTAGGTCAGGCGACTGGTCCTCCACGGCCGATCCATCTTTCTGGATAATTTTCATCCAGCGAGTTTCTAACTATTCTCGAATAATGAGCTGGACAACCATCAAGCTGGAACCAGGCCAATCTTCTTAAATCTAACATAACATCATCCCACATATTTGCATGTTCAGCCTCTAAAAATTCCAAGAAGGTCGCTGCATTTAACCTTACAGGCAAAAGGTAGGGTCCAAATAGTCGATTACGGTAGATACCAATCCACACGTTCACACTAAATTCACGCTGAAAATTTCTTTCCCGAACTGCATGCGGATTTTCATGCGACCAAATATGTTGATTATGAAAATTTACCACTCCGCGTCTAGTGAAGCATGACTCATCGGTCCATAAAACGTTACTTAAAAACTCCCTATTATTATCAGTTCTATCAAGAATCCACTGACAAAATGTGATTCTTCATTCTCCGTTCCCTGGCAGTAGTCTTGCACAGGTTGCAAATGGTAAGGACATTTATGGTCATTTCTAAGAACACGGTGAACATGGCTTGCTGAAATTCCTAAGGCACCAGAAACTCTCCTAACACTTGTGGTCGGATCTCTATCAAACTCACGCAGAATCATACGGGCAAATCTGCGCTGACGAACATTTATGTTTTGATCCCTTTGGAGATTTCCAAAACCATTTTCAATTATTTGGCGATGCACTCTTACAAATACTGAGCGAGTTGGATGTCGTCTGTTTGGAAATCTTCGTGCGTATTCTCTGGCTGCTTCTGCTGCGTTTCCATTTACAAAGCCATACACAAAATGAATATCCACTAACTCTTGATTGGAGAATAAAAATGGCATTTTTATAAAACTTACAAAAAAAAACTTGGTAAAAGAAACTAAATTTCGTGCATTCACAATTGCAAAAAACGTTTCAGGTTTCAACAGACAACAAAACTGTCAACTAATTGACGTTTAACCTTATTCTGCTTTCAATTTCAAAAATATTTGCAGGCACAGCCTACTTCTAAAAATTATCGAGATACTGACTTTTTAACGTTATTTTATCATAAATAATTAAAAATGCATCGAACCTTAAAAATCGAAATATCTCAAAAACGGCTAACTATAGCGAAAATTCACAAGAGAGCTTTTTATGTTGAAAAGCGCGAAGAATCAGTAATTTTAAAAGTTCTATCCAATATTAAAGTTATGCAACAGTAAACTGAAACCCCCTGCATAGCTGAGGCTAATAACAGTCTTAGGGACACTCGATTTGGAATCTCCGTAATGAGTAAAAATTCAAAGCTTAGGTCATCTTTATCGTTTTTAGGCATCTTCTCAGGTTTTTTACAATTTGTATATAGATCTAATTTAAATCTTGTAGTTTCCGTCTGAGTGAGGAGCATCCATATAAATTTCTTTTAAGGTTATCAAAAAAATCTATGTTGCATTTCTTAGGTACGCCTTAACTTACTTCTGAAATCAAAAACAGTGGGAACGACATCCTGAACAATTTAAATTTTTGAAAAACGTTTGTCCTTTTCACTAGAAATTCATCGTTATTCAGCATACTTTGGAAACATGTGCATTTTGGTGGTGGTGTGAACCTTGCTGTTTTCTACTGCTTTTTCAGCTCCAAGCTACGTCTCTCCAAATCTACTAAAAGTCCTGGACTATAAAATGGAGCGAATGCGACCCAGCAATATTAACTTAATTTCCTCAGACAAACAGCCACCTTTGCTAAACTCATGATCGTTTTGTGCCTCTGTAGCGCAGCCTGTTTACTCTTGAGCAAGCAAAACGTCTACTCTTTGAACTTGTGCCAACGAAAATTCCAGCTAATAATGGAGAAAATGAAACACGCGTGCTCACATAATTCGACATATAGTTCTATATTTATATTGACAAAAGCACAAAAAGCTACATAGAAGAGAATTCCTGGTATTTCTTGGTCTTTGCATATAATTTAGTACCATATCTCCTTTTCCTTTTTCTTCTTGCGCCTTCTGTACTCTGGATTAAATGCTTATAACTCCGTGTTTGTCTCTGACAAATATGTATGATGGGTGTGTCACCCAGTCTCTTTGGCCCCTTTGGTCAGAAGAGTTGCTTTCCTCTTGGGCCTCAATAATAATAATATTTATTTACTCCATAAGCACAATATGGAAAACGAATAAATAAGGATGAAGTAAGGGGCCATAGGAGGCACTGCCTGCATATGGACCATTAATGTTGCAATTGGGCATAGAAAGAAAACACAAATAATGGTACAGCTAATCAAGGAATTATTTGATGCTTATATTTACTATTAATTTGTGAATGTCTGGCCTTGCTAAACAAAATATCCATTCTTTTAATTTTTCTGGAATCGTTTGCATGTTGTGTTTGATTTTTTGATCGTTACTAGTAAATTTGTGTTGGTGATAGTATGTAAGAGATAACGTTGTCTCATGTCATATACGTGTATATCTTCATCAGTGGGATATACTTTTGGTTATGTAAGCCTTTTTGATAGAATCATTTTTTGAAGACTTCTCAATAATACGAACTGAACATGCAGCTCCCCATGCCAATATACCGTAGGGTAAATGCGGTTCGATCAAGGTATGGTATAAGGTATAGAGATATTTCTATTTTAGAATAGCTTTGAAGTATTTAATTTCATATGAGACATGAAGTTCGTACAAGCAGCGGTCTCAAAGAGCTTCAGTCAGCCGATAAAATAAAATACTTGGGCGTGACTTTGAACACTTAAAATGGAATACCCTTGTGAAGAGACTGAGATGTATTATTCCAAAATTCAGGTAATTCAGAGATATTCTGGATCAGAAATATCTATATAATCTTTATTATGCTCTTGTTCATCCTCTATTACTTTACGGAATTTTGGCTTGGGCGGGAGTTATAAATAATAATGACAAAAAGGTTGATGTAATCCAAAAATTAGTTCTAAAATTGATCCTCCATAGGGAAATTACTTATTCAAGTGATTCTCTATATGTGGAGGCTCAACTATT